TGTGTGAGAGAGAGAGAGTGTGTGTGTGTGTGTGTGAGAGAGAGAGAGAGAGAGTGTGTGTGTGTGTGTGTGAGAGAGAGAGAGGTTGATGTTTGGTTGTTTTATCCTGTGAAATGAGAAAAATCACAATGTAATTCAAGATTTTAGTGGCTTGAAGTTGTTACTTTATCATATTTATAATATATATAATATATATTTTTAATATTTGTAAATGTTTACATTATTATTATTTATATAAAAAAACACGTTTATCCCCCAAAAAGTTAATATTTATATTGTATTATAGGTATTTATATTATATATAGGTCAAATTAGACCCTATCCAAAATATACTCACTTTATAAATATATTTAACGTATTTTTTAAATAATATCTATCTATCCATCCATATCTATCTATCGTCCTATCTATCCATCCATCCATCCATCCATCTACTGTATCTATCTATCTATCTATCTATCTATCCATACATCCATATCTATCTGTCTATCTATCCATCCATATCTATCTCTCTAGCCATCCATCTATAATCTATCCATCCATCCATCTCTATCCATCCATCCATCATCTATCCATCCATCCATCAAACATAAACATGAAATAAAACTGTAGCTGTAAGAAGTTCACCATTCAATAACAAATGACAGAATACATTGATAGAAAATACACTATTATAATATATATATACAGGTGCATCTCAATAAATTAGAATGTCGTAGAAAAGTTATTTATTTCAGTAATTCAACTCAAATTGTGAAACTTGTGTATTAAATAAATTCAATGCACACAGACTGAAGTAGTTTAAGTCTTTGGTTCTTTTAATTCTGATGATTTTGGCTCACATTTAACAAAAACCCACCAATTCACTATCTCAACAAATTAGAATCCTTATTTTTTAGTGGATTTTGAGTAAATGTGTCAAATAGCTGTAATTTCTGCCACAAATCATGCTTTTGGAAAATCATAAATTTGACAAAAAGTCATAAATAATGAAATAAAACGTCAGAATGATGACATAAAGAGTTGAAATTGAGATAAAAAGACATAATTGTGTACGCCAAAATTAATATACGTCATAAGTGACATTTTTTTTTTAAATTGGCAAAAAGTCAAGACTTATGAGCTACAAATTCATAATCATGACATAAAAAGTTAAAAGTATGACATGCATGGTATTATACATGTATTATACATGTATGTATAATATGAGTATGTATATATATATATACATACTCATATTTTTAGGAAATGTATCAATAATTGAATTAATAAACAATCATTTAAATGATTATTGAATTATTACATTTTTTAAATTATAATTTATCTCATTATTCAATTAAGTTATTAAAATAAAATATTTAATCAAAATTATTTAATGCATTATTACATTAAGATATATACAGTATACATTTCTATTTTAGTTCTATTTTGTACATATCCATCTGTCAGTCAACATACACTCTAAATATCAGTAATTGTATCAAGTGTTTTGGTTAAAAACGGTATTTGAATAAACATACAACCCATACTTGAGGTCATCTGAGGTCAACGCTAACTTGCTTAGTTGAGCTGCTCATGTGATCAGTCACATTATAATGAGCCTGGATTACTGCAGTGCGGTGCGGGACGTGACAGTGATCCTGTCCTGTCCTAATACACACGTCCACGTCATCAGCACTGAGGGTCAGTTAGAAACGACCCCTGCATCGCAACAGGCCACTGAGATTACAAATGTGACCCCATCATCTCTAATACCTGTTGTTTAGTCACACATTTCCAGGCAAACGGATCTTATTTGTCCGGTGAGCAGTGGGAACCCCATGGAGGAGGCTGGTGATGAAAGCACATCTATGTTTATCAGCTCGTTCAGCCCTGCAGGCGTCTAATGGAGAGAGTGTGACCAGCTGATGCTGACCAACGCATGACCCAGCTGGGCTTCTCCTGAGACGTGTGTGTGTTGTGTTTATGACTTCATCTCTTAACGAGTACAGCCTAAGGACGCTGACGATGTTGTGCGATTGAAACGGAAGGTAAGCTCCCACGCCTGTGGCTATTCAAATCAAAGCGCTAATTAGTTGAGTCACTACAATCTGGCTTTAAAAATGCTGGGTTTACTGGTTTGCATCACAGTTTAGTCATGCAGAAGTGCATTTTAAGAAAACAAAAGGATTGTCTAACTTTTATGTGAAATACATGGAAGCCCAGTTCTGCCACATAAGAAAAACACACGCTTTGGTGAATCATAATTATGACAAACTTATATGTCAAAAGTATGACATTGTCATTATTGACATAAATTGAAATTATGAGATAAAAATCTGAAATTATAAGTCAAAATCATGAAAAAAAAGTCATGATTATGACAAAACGTTGAATTTGACAAAAGTCTAATGATGATTTGTCAATTATGAGGTAATCATGTCATAATCATGGAAAAAAGTCAAATAGGATAAAAGGTCATAATTATGAGACAAAGTCATACTTATAAAAGTCATAATTATGAAACATAAGTTGAAATTATGAAAACGGCAAAAAAAAGTCTTAACATACATCTAGTAATTTCTTGTCATAACTATGACTATCTCATAATTTCCACGTTGTCATACGTTGAACTTTTTTTTATCATAATTGACTATCTTGTAATTAAATTTATGTCAGAATTTCTAGTTTTTCTCACATATACTTTTTTTCGGAACTATGACTTTTTAAAATCTAAATTTAAATTATTTTTTGTCAAGATTTTCTCACATTCACTTTTTGTCATAACTATAATTTCCACTGTCGTAATACTTTATCATAATTGACTCACTATCTTGTAATTAAATTAGTCAGAATTTCTAGTTTTTCTCACATTTACTTTTTGCCATAACTGACTTTTTATCTCATAATTTTGACTGTCATAATTTACTTTCTATCTTGTGGTTCCATGCTTTTGTCACAATTTCTACTTTTTATCTCATATTTACTTTATATGCCATAACTGACTTCTCATAATTTTTATTTTGAATTTTTTTTTACCATAATTGACTATCTCATTTTTATTGTCACAATTCCTACTTTTAGTTTTTCTCACATTTACTTTTTGCCATAACTGACTTTTTATCTCATAATTTTGACTGTCATAATTTACTTTCTATCTTGTGGTTCCATGCTTTTGTCACAATTTCTACTTTTTATCTCATATTTACTTTATATGCCATAACTGACTTCTCATAATTTTTATTTTGCTTTTTTTTTTTACCATAATTGACTATCTCATTTTTATTGTCACAATTCCTACTTTTATCTCATATATATATATATATATATATATGATTTAATACCTCACAATTTAGATTTTTAATTATGACTTTGTCTCATAACTTCAAATTATATAATTATATATTTTTTATGTCATAATTGTGATTTACCAAAGCATGATTTTCTTTTGTGGCAGAAATGGGCTTCCATAAGGAAAAATGACTGGCATTCGCGGTGCAAAACTCCCTTCAGTGAGAACCAGCATAACTTCAGGAATCCCTCATGTCTTACTCATCAGAGATCACAAAACACATGAAGACCTGAGATGACAGTCGAGCCCTTGAAATGAAGACGTCTGGAATGTGGCAAAGTGGATCTTGCTCACCGATGCGGCGTGTTTGAGGGGAAATGAGTGTGTTATTGTCTGAGAAGCAGTGTTTGAGTGTTCGTTTGCTCTCGACTGAGGTCAAGTGGAAGTGAAAGTGTTATGTAGGTCAAAACAAATCCCAGACATCAGGTGACAGTCAGACTTCCTGACACTCCCCCTGCTGGCCTGAGCGGCTCACTGCAGACAGCAGTATAAAGCTCCGATGCACTACAAACTCATTTAGAGAAAACACTCCGATTCACCAATAAATCAGTAGCATCAATCCAAAAATAAGCTTTTCATAAGCTCATGAATCAGCTAAAGGGAAAAAATAAAATGGTGAAATGTTAAAGAAATAAAACACTAACATCTGTGTGTCATGGACTAGCATTTTATTTACAAAAACATGGAGCACAAATGAAAAACGTCGCTCACTGTCATGTGACGTACAAACACAAGGGCGCTTCTACACGACATCAGCAGTTAAAGGAATAAGAAATGAAGGATGAGAGGGGCTGGTCTCCCGCAGCTCACCGCAGGCCTAGAACTTGAACTCTTTGTATTTCTTCGCTCCAGAGCGCGTGTCCTGTGGCTGCGCCTTGCGCTTCTTTTGCTGTGAGGAAGAGAGAGAAGAAACATTTTAGGAAACAGGTTAAAACACACTAACCATTTACTAAGACCACAAACAAAGATGGTACACAAAACACCTTATATTATCAAAGACATTTAAGTGGCTCTACTCAAAAAAACATCTTTATTGCACTCCAATTAGTGCAGAAATTAATGTGAGTGAAGTGAAGTGACATGTGGCTTTAGTGCTCTGCATTTACCCATCCAAAGTGCACACACACAGCAGTGAACACACACACACACACAGAGCAGTGGGCAGCCATTTATGCTGCGGCGCCCGGGGAGCAGTTGGGGGTTCGGTGCCTTGCTCAAGGGCTCCTCAGTCGTGGTATTGAAGGTGGGAGAGAGTGCTGTACATTCACTCCCCCCACCTACAATCCCTGCCGGTACGAGACTCGAACCCACAACCTTTGGGTTATGAGTCCAACTCTCTAACCATTAGGCCACGACTATAGTGATTCTTACAAGTTTTTATTTTTTTTTCATTATGCGTTTTTTCATTATCATAAACATGCAGAGGTCATATTTACCTAAAATCTAAATTTGGAAAGATTTGATCTGCCATAAAGTAAAGCCTAATGAATGTAGCACTGATTTTCATGGCAATTAAACACATTTAGCCTCAGTGTGATTACAAAATTTTTTATAAAAAAAAGTCTGTTTATGTATGTAAACACAAATGCATTAATATCTTTAAAACATTATATTTTTTTAAATAAAATGATAATTTATAAATAAATTACATTTATAAATTGTGTATATAATCCATAAAAACATTGTACAAAGCAGTTTTTAAATCAACCTTTTAATGATATAAATTACGTTTCTACTTAAATTCCTCATTTAAATAAAATAAACATTTAAGCGGTGACTGCCATAATTTGTTTTCACGACAGATTTATTCATATATATACACATGAAATAATGAAGACTCGCTAACAGGTCGGGTAAAAATATAATGATTTTGTAATATAGTTATCTACTTATAAAAATGTTCCTCTAGAGTTTTTTTTATTTTCTAGTTAACTAACAAGCTTATTGACGCTGAATGGCTTTCCTGAGGTAAATTTCATGTGACGTGACATTGTTTAGAAGCCGTTTCACTGACATCTTTCCGTGGTTGAAATACTGATTGCACGACACATGATATTTTTCATTAAGTTGTCTGTCTGTTTCTTTAAACCCCTTCTAATGTTCATTCATGTTTATTTCATGCTGTAACTAGTAGTAAAGCTGCAGAGATAGTTTGTTCATATGCCAATTGAACCGAGGCGTATATAGCGATCGGTCACGACACATAAAAAGCGTCACCACATTTATCATCTGTATTTTGTGGTGTAATTGATCGAATTTGAAAGCTCAAAGCTCATATCAAAAGTAATAAAGCTTACTGTGATTTCTGGATGACCGGTGTTTAAATTGGATCAAATGGGATTTAGGAATTGATATTGGTTCATTAAAATGAAGATCAGTTCAAATTGATGCCTAATGAATTAAATGTACATTGTTTTAAATCACCAAGATTTCAGATTTAAATGTATACGGATGTTAAAGTGTGCATTCAGATCCTGTGCGTTTCTTTAGGGATGTACCAAGAATTTATCGAAACAAAACTGCTCTGAGACAACGAACTGAGACACGCATCCATCTCTTGCACGCAGTCGTACCGTAGACATGTCGTAGATGTGTGTGGACGCCATCATAGCAGCCCCGACCGCCCCCGCCTTCCTCTCCGGCAGCACCGTGAACAGCTGAGGCGTCTCGTTTCTGAAAACACACACAAACACGAGTTACATGCACAGCGATTCATCAGACGCTATTATCTGAAGTGCTTGAGCCTGACGATGCTGATAGTTCACAGCCCACATCTTTACCCACTGGGACAGACATCAGGCACAAATGCCATTCGTTTTTGCATCACAGCAAGTTTAAAAATGAGGTTTCTGCGACACTAGCGGAATAATCAAGCCAATGGTGCTGTAGAGGGCTGGTCAAGAGTCTCACAAAAAGCATTAACAATGCACACAATACACTTTCAGACTAACCCCATAAAGCCTACTGTATCATATCTGATACATTAATTTTTAAGGTCTCTAAATGAGCAACATGTGCAAAACTTTGCACACAATCTACTCCATGCTTTCGGTCATCTGATAGATGGCTTAGACTTTTTAGTAAGTAAAATGCCTTTTAGTATAATTATAAAAATATCCACCTTCAACTCGTGCTTTCCATGTCTTTATGCTGTCAAATCTATACAGATTTTTATAAAGTAAACATTAGAATGTCTATTTTGCTAGCAATATTTCAAGATGAACATTTACTTAGGTTTCCTTGATTTTCCAGACATCATTTTACAGAAAAATTGTGTTCAAATGTGAGCATCAAATATGAAAACGGTTTATTTGTTCATCTGTCAATCATCACTGTATTGCACTGCATTATATGTTTTGATCATAAAACAAAGCATGTAAATCTCATCTTACTGAGACATATTATTGGGAGATACAAAGTGACAACTGATATTTATATGCAAGTATCTGCTATACTGTTATAAAGATCACATTGATTTACATTACAAGCATCAGAATTTAATATTTTTTGGGCATATAAATATCAGCACCTGCACCAAATTGCATATTTTTGCTCAGTTTGGGTCTCTGAATAAAACAGAGGTGTCTTAACAGTCCAGCACGGATATATTTGTAGTAATAGCCAAAAATACATTGTAAGGGTCAGAATTATTGATTTTTCTTTTATGCCAAAAATCATTAGGATATTAAGAAAATATCATGTTCCATGAAGATATTTAGTAAATTTCCCTATGTAAATATATCCAAAAAAAATTGATTTTTCTTTTATGCCAAAAATCATTAGGATATTAAGAAAAGATCATGTTCCATGAAGATATTTAGTAAATTTCCCTATGTAAATATATCCCAAAATTTTTTGATTAGTAATATGCATTGCTAAGACCTTCATTTGGACAACTTTAAAGGTGATTTTCTCAATATTTAGATTTTTTTGCACCCTCAGATTCCAGATTTTCAAATAGTTGTATCTCAGCCAAATAATGTCCTATCCTAACAAACCACACATCAATGGAAAGCTTATTTATTCAGCTTTCAGATGACTATAATGACCCTTATGACTTATGTTTTGTGCTCCAGGGTCACATATAAGCCTGGTGTATCAAATATGTAAACAATTTTATTTAATTTTTTTTCACATTTTGTCTAAAGGTTCAATAAACTGTTGGAAAAAATGACTTTTGTACTATTATTTCAGGATTTACAGTGGAAGAGCCCTTAAATTTGCGCACAGACACTCACCCGTCCATGGCCTCCTCGATCTTCTTCTTCCTGAGCTCGATGAGCTCTGGAGTCTCCATGCCGGCAGGAACGGAGGAGAAGCCACCCGGAGTGATCATCCCGCTGTCAAAACAACGAGAAAGAGCAGACATATGTGAGCCTTCAAGTCTCAAACACACGCAAGCCAATCAGAGACGAGCAGCACCTGTCTGCTGGTGTGAAGAAACCCGTTTCATCTGGTTTCTCCTCATCGCTCTCCTCCTCCTCCTCTTCCTCAGATGACTCTTCATCAGACGCCTCCAGCTCGCCCCACGGGGTTCGATCTACTTCCTCCTCCTCTGCTTTGGCCTGTCAACATTACCAGGCAAACCAAACAACAGAATCAAACACGGCAGAAATGACAAGTGTGTCCTTAATATGCGTTTTTTATTTGTGAAAGCAATAAGGCGCTTTTGCATCTCACAGTAGGGCGGTCATTAAAAAAAAAAAAATAGAATTTCGAATATTCGTCGAATTTAAAATAAAAATCCACGTTCGAACGCAAAAACGTTGCATTCGAATTTTAGGTGTGCGTTAAGGAGGCAGCCTTATCAGCGGCGCACGAGATGCGATGAGGATGTAAGTGTCGTTGCATTATAATGTTTTTGTTAGGATATCCAGTTGAAGCCACTAGATGCGGCGCTGCTGCGTTGTTCATTAAAATTATAGCAGAAAAAGAGAACATCAATGCAGAGAAGATCTTGTTTACATCAAAACTGAAACCAAGCCGTTCACACAGAACGCATATTTATCACATTTTCTAGATGGATATCTATCAGCGTTGCACTCGCATCTCGCACAAAAGAGCATTAAAATTAATGTAACTTTAACGTAAAAAAAAACCAAACAGACTTTATGGTGGGGTTTTTTTCCCCATCCCACTGCATCTCATGTTTTTAAATGAAAAATGTACTCTGTGTGACCCTTTGTATTAAACTATGCATACAAATGTGACACCGTTTTGTTTATAGTCATTTAAGCAACTTTACATTACTATCAATGAAAAAATTTGCATAATGTTTAAAATAATGTTTATAAACCAATTATAATTATGTATAGTCTGTTATCTTATGCTTTGAATTATCTTATAATTTTGCTCGATGCGCCCTCTTGTGGCCTCAGGAGAGAAGCCAAAAGTTTTTCTTCACCCTAACTGAAATTATGCCTTTTAAATTCGAATAGAATTAGAATTTTGATCATATTCAAGTACAAAATTCGAATTTAGTTTTTCAGCCATTTTGACAGCCCTCTCTCACAGGTTGTGCCATCTAGTGTCTAGCAATGCCATGTAAAGGAGTCTGTATATTCAGGACCTGATTCTGTAGTTTGCTCACCTGGAAGTCTATGGCGTTGGTTCCGAACACGTCTCCATACAGCGGTCTGCCCGTCTCATCCACAGGAGGTTTACCCCAACCGCCCGCATGATAGCCAAAGGAACAGCCCTGAAAGACACACACACAGATAAGTATGAAGATCTCACAGCTTTATATGACCTCTACACTAATAATCAGCTTTAGTAGAACAGCTTTTAATGAATATCTTGAGTACGTCAGATCCTGTATTAGAGACCGACGTGCTTTTGTTTTTCATTAGATCAGTGTTACAAGTAATGCACGTTACTTTATACCAAATTACTGACAAATGTCTCTTTTGCATATCACTGTTGGAAGTATTAATTGTGAAATTACAACCGCATGCTGCAGGCAAACTACTTTGACTAACGAACTTTCAGACTTCCTTGACTAATGATCATTTTATAGAGATCGCACTCAAACTGTACTTTCTAGCCAAAGAAATGCACAAATAAATAAAATAATGTTACATATTAATATTAAAAATAAATTTGAATACATATTTACTTTAAAATTGCTTAAAAAGTAAAAATGCATACATATACTTTATATCACAGTTTTAGAATCTAAAACTAAGCAAATTGTAAACACACTCATACACGCATATACAGTAGGCCTACATATTTTAAATGTATTAACTTGTAAAAAAAAAATTGCTTACATTTTTAGGTTCTACAAATTATGTAACATTACACACATACATATATACACACATACTATATATATATATGCATGCATGTATGTATGTATGTATGTATATATATATGCAGAAAAAATAGCAATTTAAAACTCAAAATGCAAAATGCAACTGAATAAGCATCAGATATGCATATATTATATTAAGCACTAAATAGCCTATGCATATAAAATTTTCTATACTACCGTTCAAAAGTTTAGGGTTGGTAAGATTTTTTTTAATGATTTTGAAATAATTTTCATGCTCATCATGTCTGCATTTATTTAATTTAAAATACAATACAAACACTGAAATATTTTTACAATTTAAAAGAACTGTTTCTATGGGAATCTATTGTAAAATGTAATTTATTCCTGTGATCAAAGCTGAATTTTCAGCATCATTCCTCCAGTCTTCAGTGTCACATGATCCTTCAGAAATCATTCTAATATGCTGATTTGCCCGCTCATAAAACATTTCTGATTATTATCAGTGCTGAAAACAGTGCTGCTTCATGGGGCTGCACAATTAATCGAATTTCTAATCGCGATTACAATTATGGCCACAATTACGTAATCGTTCAAAGTGGCAATTCATCGTTCAAAGTCCACTTATGTTATTCTGCGTGCTTAAGATATGTTTTTTTCTTCCTACATGTTATCTTAAGGGTTTTTCCATTGTTTTAGCTTTAATAACACCATTAATATTTTTACTTTTTTATAATTTAAAGAAACCAATCCGATGTATATTTGACATTTGAGGCTTAATGTTATAGAAAAGCACTAAAGGTTTTCCAGTTAGTGTATTCAGCTTGTTTATTTTCACATAAAAGTACGGCATGCAGTTGCATCAAACAATGGTATAAACATCATTCAACGTAAATTGTGATAATTGTAATTAATAATCGCAATTACAATTTCAAGGGAATAATCGACAATTATGATTTTTGTCATAATCGTGCAGCCCTACTTGGATGACCTTCATTTTTGGGTGAACAATTCCTTTAAGTAGATATTTAAAAACACCTTTCCCCTCTTACATTTACTATACATTTGAATCTAAATGCACTGAACTTTGAGGAAAGAGAAAATAAACAGAAATGTTCCATTTGTTACCTGTTTGAGTTCTGCCACCGTCAGCCTGTTCATCCTCCTCAGTTTCTTTTTGGACAGCTTGGGCATGTCCTTCTTGTTTTCCTATCAAAAAGGAAGCAGAGGGGTTAGACAGGAACATCATCAGGGCTGGAAGACTCTCACAAGGCCTTCAAACTCACCTCGTCGCTGTCATCGCTGTCTTTCTTCTCCAGTTCAAACCCCTTCTTCTTAAATGAAAGGATTTCTGGCTTTTCGGGCTTCTCTGGCTCCTTTTCCTTCTCCTTTTTCAAATCATCTGTCAGCTGCGATAGAAAACCATTGAATGGCGCATCCATCAAAATATGGGAGTTATTTTCAGTCTTTAAAACACCAGTCTAGTTGAACGAAGCAGGATGGATGTCAAACCGTGATGGAGGAGTTTGAACTATGCAGCAGATCAAAAGATCGAGATGCAACACCAAACAAGCTCCATTCTTTTCATTTTCTCATATCGAACACACAGTTTTGCAGTTTAGTTTCAACAAATGATCGTTCTGGACTCTTATCGTTACACTACTTTCATCTCAACGTCTCAAGAAACGCCGCATTTTCCATCATATTTCTGATCCCGTTATGAAGCCTAAAGCTTCTGACCTTGAACGTCTCAAAGATCCTCTTGAAGATGATGTAGCTTGGGTCGTAGATCGCAGGCTCCTCCGTCACATACTCGATCTCCACCTCGGGTTCCTTGTCACGGCTCTCCTCTTTCTTTTTCTCCTCCTCCTGCTGCTCCTTTTCCTGCTGCCTCTTCTTCTTGTTCTTCTTCTTCCTGTTCCTGCGCTTGCGGTTTTTCTATAAGTAAACGAGAAAATTAAGGCCTGGGCGATAAAACGGTATTGATATTTATCAACCGTACACCTCCTTCGATAACGATATAAAAAATGTTCGATATAGTGCATGATATAGGCACGTGCTATGAGTAGGGTTGGGTACCGAACTCGGTACTTTTAAGAGTACCGACCGAATTGTGTCGGTACTACAGAGTACCGATTCACATTAAATCAACCGGTGCCAAATTTCGGTACCTGAGAACGCATCTGGGCGCATATGCTACAGAGAGAAAGAGCGACCCTGTGACGTGAGGTCATCCCTGCAACTCGTTCAAACAACACACAGGGCAAGCCGAAATGCTCTGAATTGTGGTTACATTTTTAGGGCCATATGGTTTCTGCGAAAACGCGGACGGGATCGTTGAGTCATTCATAAAAACATAATTTACTCTATAGCGCGGAATGCCACAGAATTCGTAAATTTTGGACGAATAAATCAAAAGTAGCCACTGCCACTTAATTCGAATTGCGATATGAACTAGTGTCTGTGAATATTAAAATGTATAAAGACGGTTTAAATATGAATCCTGCATGTTGCGCTTGCCTCTGTATGTATGAATGGCGGAAACGCGGTTTTGTTTACTACACAAATACTGAAGCACGCGTGACGCTCGTGGTGATTTCCGCCTCTGCGTCTCACTACATGACGGCATGAACACAAACACTTAATCTCCAGAGATGCTGTGAGAGTCACTTCGCGAGAATTTTACTATTTCATTTGAGAAAACTAGCATCATCATACTGTATACACAGAAACTTCATAGCAACCTGTCAAAATAAAAGTACGGTTTAACATGTAACAGAAATATACTACATTAGTAATATGTAATTTGTATTAAAACAATTAAAAGATAATTTTTAGGCAGACAAATACGACTGCTGCACTCGCGTCTCACAGAAGAGATGTATAGAAAGCCATGCAAAGTTAAAACAGTATAAACGTTTAGAAAACACGTCACGAATCTGTGAAGGTTTATTCCTTTTCACTGCGTCTCTTATGTTTTTAAATGCAGTCTGTGTGAATGGGCTTCGTCTCTTTGGATTAAGCAATGCATAAATACATGATGCTGTTTTGTTCATAATTGTTCATGCAATTAACAAAATTATATTTGATTTTTATGAGTTAATTTAGACGTAATGCACGTTTTTACAGAGTTACTTCCTTGCGTTGACAAGTTAAATGTGCTGCATTATTTTGCTCATTGCGCCCTCCTGTGGCCTCGGGAGACAAGACAAAAGTTTCCTTAAGACCTATTTAATCTGCATATAAAACATTAGAAATTAGATATTCACCGTCTCAATAAATTGGGTTAATTTAAAAATACAGTGGTTAAATGTAAAAAAAAATTTGTACTGCCGTTTGTTTTAAAAAAAGGTTATAAAAAAAAAAGGTCAATAATTATCAATACCGAACGATATGAAACATTATATCGTTGATAAATTTTTTAGCTATATCGCCCAGTCCTAGGAGAAATTCAGTAAAAGTTTGCAGAACAGCAATTTAGAGAGCCTCGCAAAGGCTGATGACGCAAGGAAACCTACGTCTTTTTTAGAAAGACCGCTTTCATCGTCCTCATCGGAGAATCCGCGGGCAGAGGAACGGTTCATGTCCATCTCGCCGGTGTGTTCATCATTATCCTCCTCTGTGGATAAAACCAGCCACAGAAATGATTTCTACATTGTGTAAATGTAAGCACAGTCTTACAAAAGGCAATTCATTTTTTGCATTAATACAACAAAATGAAGAGCAAGCGTGAGAATGATGGGAAATGCATACTATTGTTTAAACATTTTTTTTTTAAAGTAATTAATACTTCTGTTCGGCAAGGATGCATTAAATTGATCAGAAGTGACAGTAAATACATCTGTAACATTCCGAAAGTTTTCGGTTTCAAATAAGTGCTGTTCTTTTGAATTCATTAAAGAATCATGAAAAATAAAATATATCATGGTTTCTACATAAAAAATAAAATATGCTGCTTTGTGTTTCTACAAAAAACACAAAGCAGCACAACTGTTTTCAACATTGATAATAATCAGAAATGTTTCCTGAGCAGAAAATCAGCATATTAGTATGATTTCTGAAGATCTTGTGACACTGAAGACTGGAGTAATGATGCTGGAAATACAGCTTAGATCACAGAAATAAATTACATTTTAACATATATTACAACAGACAAGAGTTCTTTAAAATTGTAATATTTCATAGTTTTCACTGTATTTTTGATCAAAATAGAAAGCTCAAATTCGTTGAACAAATTCTGAATAAACAGTGCAAAGGGTTAATTTAATGAATTACTTAGAAAGAAATCTCAAGAGATGCATTACACACACATTACAAACCACATAACTAAGCACAAGCTAAAATTAATTAAACTTAATAATTACCAGCATTAACATTTTCTATGATTTCATTAATTCTCAGCTTGCAAACTCGAGTCTCAAAAGTAAATTAAGTGTTTCTCCAACTGGTAATTAGACATGATGTGCTCAAGTGCTCTCATCTCATAAATATGATCATTATGGACATTAAGGCAGCGTTTGAGCATGCTGATAGCGACCTGTAGGGGCGATGCTGAGCTGCTCCTGTCTCATTTCCTTCAGCTGCAGGATCTTCTCCAGAGCCTGAGGAATCTTCGGCCCGATGCCGACATCTTCACCCTGCCACGACTGAACACAAAAACACACACGTCAAGATCACTGAAGAGATTGAGTTCAACCGATCATGCATCGAGGCTTTCAGGCTTCTCGTACCTCTCTGCCGTCTTCCCCCGGAGGAGGCGGGACTTTCTGTCGCTGATTGACAGATTGGGGCATCATAGAAACACCTGGAGGGGCGGGGCCACTAAGAGTCCCAACTACAGGAGGACAGAAATTATGTTTACAGTAAAAATCACCCTGATCAAAAACAGATGTGCAGGCTGTAGTCATTTTAATCTAGTCTGGTTGTCGAAAGGCAAGACATTAGATGAAATGGGTAAAAAAAAGAAAAACTAAAAGATAAACCATACTCCCTCAGTTCACTGAACGCATTAAGAAAAGCAAACTTTTTAGTGTGTGTTACAAGTTATTTGTGCAATGTTACGTTTAAACATGCAATTAAGGAATTATCTAATAAACATGCATTCGATTTCCAGAAAACAGATAAAGCCAGGTTCAAAATTCTTTTCATTTTGTTGACAAAGGTTTTTATAGAAGGGGGTTTTGTATTACAATTAAAATCTATAGGTGCTTTGAATGTTTTCTTTTTACGATTCGGAAACAACACTCAATCAAAAGTTGATCAAAAGTGACCAGTGCATGAAAAAAAAAAAAAAAACAATGTTTTGCCTGTAGTGTCTATACTTTCTTAGTCAAATAAAAACAAAGACATCCAGTCAGCATGATCTGATGTTAGGTTGACATGATTTGAGGTCTGAGCATAACTTCAGTTGCTAACGAAAGCATCACGGTGAATGAGTGTTTTCACATATTTCTCCAGCACGAAGGCTGTTGGGCAGCTGACCTCTGAGAGGCGGGATGGGGGGCAGGAGGTTGGGTCGTGGTCCCAGTTCAGGTCCTCTGGGGCCTGGAGCCGCCCCCTGCTGGATTTTAGCAAGTTCCTGCTGCCTCTCATGTTCCAGAAGCACAGCAGCCTGAGAGCCAGAGACAAACATCCATTTCAGAATCATTCATACCAAATCAAAGAATACATGTCTGAATCTGATAAGTGAAATGTCACAGGTTTCTTGTCATGTCATGCATACACAATATACATCACAGAATATGCAGCAAAACATTTACAACTCTGTTCAAAAGTTCAAATTTATTATTTCTAAAAGAAGTCTCTTATTCCCAACAAAGCTGCATTCAAGATTGTTACTGGTCACGTACGCAGTTATATTGAGAATATATAACCAGCAGTGAAATGTAAATCAGGTCCGCTCCATAGACTGTGCGACTATTTATAAAGTATATAACAAAAAAATAAACAGATAAGATAGTAAAGAAAGAAGCCTGGGAAGTACAGGACATTACACAATAGACTTAATAAACACTCAGATGAAGGCACAATAAATATTCAGATGAACAGGTATGTACTAGAAAAATGTGCACAGGTAAGTACAGCAATACAGATTGCTACATGCTAAATAAGACAACTGCTAAATAAAACGACAAAATTATTTTATATATATATAATTTTTTTTTTTTTTAATAATTGCACTGACCCCAAAAATTTGAAAGGTAGTGCATAGAATATAATTCACAATTATACAGCTGTAAATGATTGTGCAGTATGACATAAATCCTTCGAAATCTACCAGCACGGTTAAAAAAAAGGAATAAGTATTTTCTCACCCGTCTCTGCTGCTCTAGGAGTTCCTGCTCCTTCATCTGCTCATCCATCACACGTGCATCACCCTGAACACACACCCAGTTATAAGCAACACTACTTAAACTGCAATCACGAGATCGTGATTATTTAACCTATTTGGAACTAGGGCTGGGTAAAAAAAAAAAAAAATATCGATATCTCGATTTTAATCTATTCTCATTTTTACGGAACAATATTGATTGTTAAATCCCAAGAATCGATTAGTCTAGCCTGTTTGCAGTTAATGGACGGAATGTTGAAGGGCACTTCCCATCCAATAAATCGCAATAAGCATGGTGCGCTTTGGTACTTTTAATATGAAAGTCTCAGATTTCAAATTCTGTCCATTGTATTGCAGTATTAAAACAATAAATGCTGTTTTGGCACTGATTAATGTGAAGTGACAGATCGCTGTAGCGCCTCAGTTCTACAGACGCAGCAGCGCGAGGCGCACGTCAACTGATCATCTCCTCTGTTTTAATACTAGTTATAGCACAAAATAAACATGACTAAACATCCGAAGGCAAGTTAAAAGAAAGAGTACAACTTTACAATCCGTATCCTGTCTCATGTAATCGCTCAATCAGTGTTTCAGCCGCGCAAAGACGACAATATAACGGCTTGTAAACAATATGTCACGTAACGTCACATTTACCTCAGAAAAACATACTCGGTGACCATAAACTCGTTAGTCAGCTAGAAAAATTAACTGTGGAGAGGGGCAGGTTGCTAAATATATGCACCATATAACATATTCATTATAATATTTACTGTTCTTCAATGTTTAATTTGTGTTTGAATAGGGCTGGACAATAATTCAATATCAATATGTATCGCGAAATAATTTCTCAATAACGGTGATATGATTTTTAAACACATTTCCGATATTTCGATATACATTACCAGTTTCCCATACATTGATTTATTTGTGCCGTTTCACTTCGTTGAATAAACATGAGCCCTGCACGTTTCAAAATCATAACACGGCGCGGGTGTTTTAAATGAATGTATCTCTGAAGGGAACCGACTGTCTTCAGAAAAGTTTCGATGGCATTTTCATTTGATCTGATAAAGAAGCATTCATGAGCGGAGCTGCTATGTTTACAGCCATTACTGGAGAAACCGTTAGTTTTATCACTCTAAAAGCACCTCCTGCTGGCAGAGAATAAGTTTTCATTTTAAATAAGCCCGTCTCAGCAACATTTCCAGTTTTTGTTGTTGTTAAATTTTTTTCTGCAGCGACTCGGAGCACTTTTCATACTGAAGCACATACAGTAAGATAAATTTTTTTTTTTTTTTTTTTTTTTTTTTTTTTTTTTTAAATTTTTTTT